TTTCTACATGAATTCTTCATGTATCTACATGATTCTTCAGGAATCTTTATGATTGTTCAGGTTTCTACATGATTCTACAGGTTTCTACATGATTCTTCATGTATCTACAGGTTTCTACATGATTCTACAAGTTTCTACATGATTCTACAAGTTTCTACATGATTCTTTATGAGTCTACATTAATCTACAGGTTTCTACATGATTCTTCGTGTATCTTCATGATTCTTCATGAATCTACATGATTCTACAGCTTTATACATGATTCTACACTTTTCTACATGATTGTTCATGTATCTACATGATTCTACAGGTTTCTACACGATTCTTCATGTATCTACATGATTCTACATGTTTCTACACGATTCTTCATGATTCTTCATGTATCAACATGATTCTACAGGTTTCTACATGATTCTACAGGTTTCTACATGATTCTTCATGATTCTACATGATTCTAGAGGTTTCTACATGATTCTACAGGTTTCTACATGATTCTTCATGTATCTACATGATTCTTCAGGAATCTTTATGATTGTTCAGGTTTTTACATGATTCTACAGGTTTCTACATGATTCTTCATGTATCTACAGGATTATTCATGAACCTACATGATTCTACAGCTTTCTACATTATTCTACCATATAAATTTGGAGATCTAACGAATTAATTTAATATATGGGAATAAATAATTTGAATTTATACTTAATGTACTAATTATCTATTCTATTAAAATTAACATATATAGTACACTTTACATGCTCCCGTTACCGCTTTTGTAGAGCTCTTTTGTAAGGAGGTTAGAAATAAATAGACCTGCTTAGTTTTTGTAGCTAAACTATTGTTGCGAAAGTAAGAAGGTGACATTTTCTGGAATCATGGAAGAAGACATCTTAGTCTCGTTTTTGTTCTAAGGAACAGTCCACAGAGGGACAAGTGTAATGTCCAGTGAAAGTAGTTGTGAAGGGCTTGGCCAGTGTCTTCAAGATGTGGCAGTGGAGGCCAGAGGTAAACAAAAAATATTTGTCTCTCTGTTTTTAAACACTAGCATGCAATTCAGAGCTACTTTTTTTAGTTGCGCTGCCACGTGCTAGCGATTGTACTTACTGATCAATCAATAAACAATTATTATTATAAAAAGTGAACTGGTATATTTATAATCTTCTACATCCATTTAGGGAAGAAATGATTGCTTACCACAAGGACGTTATTACAAAAAGCAGGGTTTGAATTCAAATGTATTTTTGATGCATTTATTAAAATAATATGTAACGTTATTAACTATGGAAATGCATAGAGGCGAGTCACAAATATGAAATGTTTGATAGTAAACTTTTCTGCATGATGTATGCGTTTATTCAGGTTTGACATGTTAAATGTCGGAAGTCTCATGAATGATAGCCTATCATTGATTTGCATTGCTGAGCCTGTATCTGTATCTGTAGCCTGACATGAGAAGATTGTACCAGTCTACATCATAGGCAAATGCTTTGTTTTCTGTGCTTCCCTGTTCTTATAGAACTGTACCTGGACCCTCACGTCCCCTATCTGGACCTGCCCCCCTCCCCGCTGGACTTCCACAGGTCCTGGGTGTCTCCCAACAAACCTGTCATCATCAGGACAGCCACCCAACACTGGCCGGCACTCAGCAAGTGGACACCACAGTACTTTCGGTCAGCTATAATCTAAATGATTAATGTAGTAAATAACGACCTAGAATGACAAATTCCCTTGGGTACAATCATATTTGAAGTATTATTTGCTGTAAGATTTGCTGTAAGATTCTAAAATGTGCCTTGTTTTTCTATGTCCAATTTCTTGCCATATATACTTCCATAGAGCATAATCTCAGCCATTTCACAATTCTACGTACATGTAATACCCAGGTTATACCTCCTTCATAATACATACATGTAGTTGGGCTGCTCTACATACAGCATGATTAGTGCCTTTTGCATAAAACACAATTTAACATACAGCATAGATTTGTAAAATTGATTATTATTAAAAGAATATGAACTGAAAATGTTGGCCCAAAAATATATCTTGTAAAATTTTAATGTTTGCTGAGACAAGTCCTGATTCTTAACATCTTCATCCTCAGACAAACCCTTGGACAGAAGGAAGTGACTGTAGCGGTCACCCCAAATGGTTACGCAGATGCAGTGTGTGATGGCAAGTTTGTCATGCCCGAAGAAAGGACTATGAAATTCTCCTCTTTTTTGGATATTATGGAAAGGAAAACACGGTCCAATGGAGTCTTTTATATCCAAAAACAAAACTCAAATTTCACAGAGGAGTTCAAAGAAATTATATCAGATGCAGATGTGGAGATTTTCTGGGCAACAGATGCTTTTGGTAAGCACAGTATTGATGTTTATGCCTGTATACATACACTTCTGGATTTGTGTGAAAGACACCTGACATTTTTTGTAGTACCAGTAACTACTGTAACTATGTGCATAACACAAAAAAGGCATTTCCCCCAAATGCAGGAAAACTACCTGATGCGGTGAACTTCTGGATGGGAGAGGAGGCTGCTGTTACCTCCATGCACAAGGACCACTATGAAAACCTGTACTGTGTCATATCAGGGCAGAAAACCTTCACCCTGCTCCCCCCCACAGACCTCCCATTTATCCCATATGGACTCTTCCAGCCCGCCAGATACCATGAAAATGCGGAGGGCACGTTTGACGTGATTGATGAAAAGGACGTAGATTTGGTACCGTGGATACCTGTGGACCCCCTTGACCCTGACCTGGACAGGTATCCAGAGTTTAGTCACGCCCACTCCTTCACCTGTACTGTAGAGGCAGGTGAGATGCTGTATCTGCCATCTCTGTGGTTCCATCACGTCCAGCAGTCGCAAGGATGTATCGCCGTCAACTTCTGGTACGACATGGAGTATGACATCAAGTACAACTACTTCAAGTTCATGGAAGCTGTTGTTGCCAGGAAAAATAGTGTTTTTAAAAAGGACAAATGATGAATGAAACTGCAACAACAATTTCTGTTGCCCGCTTACACGTCAAACGGTCAGAGAAGCCATCTGTCTGATTGAGAAAAGATTATAACTTTTAACCCAACATCTGCTTGGAGATTATCTATAATCACACCCTTTTCCAATCTGCATTACACTGTACATGTAGACATTTTTTCATGCATGTGGTCCAAGACCTCCTTTGAACTATAAGGAGTTTTAAAAAGAAATTTTAAAAGATGTTTGTGTTGTTGTCGGAAGAAGTCAGATGCTGTGATGCAGGGACATGTGATCCACATGTGTTGTGACTGATATTTACTTAGTCTCATAGCTTGATGACAAGGGTATGACATGAGAAACAAGTGTGAATTCTATGACGCTGATTCAGAGATGGACTGGTCCATTACAACAGTACATGATCTCAGATATTAGACAGCTCCATTGAATAGGTGATGCAATAAAGTTTCTCTAATATAAAATTACAATGTTACATTTTCTATCAACTGTGACATCAATGTGTTCCATGATATTCAGTTTGGTTGTCATTTATCTGGTCTATGGGTCAAGCTCTGAAGATACTAAACTCTAATCACTGTTGGTACACAGCCAGGTCAAGTCAAGTTTGATTTGGCTCACTTCTGAAGGAAAACAGCAAAGCCAAGTCAACTTCGCACTGACTGTTCTAGGAAATGTATGGGAATGAGACCGTCATAACCGGCACAAACAAATGGGCAGTTGTACTTTTGCATGAATGCATTCTGTATTTTATATGCAATCACCGGGATAATATTTATAATATCGTGTTTGTTTTGATCCATCCATCCACATGCGTCCACTTGAAACCGGGCCATGTTTACCAATGATGTCATTATGACGATTCGGCACCACGTGACCTGATCGCGCAACTTCCGGCAACAAACCATAAAGCCCCTGCGCGACTCCGCAGCGAGCTAAACCGTGAGACCTGGACCTGGAGAAGGCTGGCGGAATAAGACGCCTTAGGATATATCTTAGCATTATTTGACAGAAGCTGTGGCGTTGTATAGAAGTTGGCGATTTTTGTTTTATTCCCAGCGAGACAAACTCTAAAGCGGGCCTCCGTTCAGGTAGCTCAACGCCAAGGGCACCTAGGTAATTGGACCGGTGCACAGAAAGCGGTGATTTTGACAATTTTATAGCGGTCCTTTCTTCGAAGAAAAACAGAATTATGCCGTTCTTGGGCCAAGACTGGCGATCACCAGGCTGCGTATGGGTCCGGACATGCTCGGGCTGGGAGAGGCTGCTGAGGCAAGATCCTTCGCGGGAGTTCGGAGAAACCGAAAGGTAAGTAGACCGTTCGCGCGGTTTTGGATTTTCCTTCCCAGGTCGCCATTTTTCCGCTGCCCTTTCGACATCTTGTTTCACAAAACCGAGGAAGCGGGCATTTTTGGTTAGGTGTCTAGTGTACTTGACGTGTCATCGTTTAATATAAATATCAGCTGGAATAAATGGCTGACATTTTCGACTGATGAGGACCCGTCTATATATCGTAGTTGCGTCATCTCTCCCGTCCCCCTTTCGCGGCAACATCAGCTGTTCCATGTAAACAAACCGTGAGCGCTCAGCCACAAAACCAGCACAAACGTTAACGACGACCTTGGAGAGAACCAGAAAGAGATGTCTTCACGCACATTTATACTGTGGGTAGCTCCAGAAAACAGATAAGAAAATTTCTCTATGTGTCATTGCCATATGACGGTAAAGTTTGTTGATTGCGCAGTGTTTTGACCAGGCGATTGTTTTTGTGTTATGGTTGTGAGGGGATAGCACACAAAGGACCGTTAGGGGACGCCGTTTTATTTCAGACGACGTCACACCATCTGTTCTGGTGCCAAGGCTCGGGAGCGTTTACCAACTCAGGCACTGACGCATTTTGTATCTGCAATAGTCACATGATTTATGAAAATATTTTCATGTTGTTGACAGTGGGATTGTTTAATTTCTATTTTTCTTCGTTTTGGCATCAGACCTCCAAGGCGCTACCAATCATAAAGTCCTTGGAAAATACAAATACAATTATTACTTTCAGACAATTTCCAACATGAAAACCCCTTCATTTGAGGCAAAATGACATAAATTTTCTTCTTGTGTTGGATAACAGTGCAGCTATCAACAACGTATTTCAAGACTCTAATCTGTACATGTTAATTTCTTTTAGGTCTATTCCTTTCTGCTGATCAAGGTTGCTCATCAAGTTGACTTCAAAAATGAAATTACCTCAATTATGTCCAAGGGAATGTTATAGAACAATTTAATGTATTTTTCACCAGATTGTCAAAATCTGCTGTTGCTCCTTCGCTGACGAATATATAGTATTGTTGTTGACCCATTTTGTACATTGAACGGTGAAAGTTTTATTCACTTGTTTTATGTATTTATCTTTTCCTGTCCTTCCCGTCTCAGTTTCCACAGGATAGAAGAGCAGAACCAGAGGAACAATGAGAAGCATCAGGATGGGGAGACAGTGGACAACATGCCCACATGTGGGGCTCATTGTGGTCAGTACCAGACTCCTGTGTGTGCCTACAGACTAACCCAGACTAACCATGTCATCATGAGGTTGGCCAGTTTCCAAAAGATCGGCTATCAGAAGAAGGCTAATATATAGTTAGAGGGACTTGGTTGGTGAAACAGTTACCTTGTACCCAGATGGGTGTTTTGGACTTTTTTAAAGTCATGGCTACCATCCAATCATCCATGGTCCAGTGTACATAGGTGCATCTGAATTTTTTAAAAGAAAGTTATAATCAACCAACCATCCAAGGAGCATGCCTAAGTTACATACAAACAAATAAGTTTGGAGTGTATTCCTATTGTTTTTAGCCACATTCTACCTATTAAAAGACAGGAATATATCATTTTAGGGGGTTAGAAATTCCCAAGTTTCTAGCCCCCCCCCCCATAGGATAATACGTGTGTTTCTTCCACATACTGATTTTTGTTACCATATGTGGTAAAGGAAACGTTCACCTGCTTAATTGTGCCCTATTGTAATGTGGTAGTTGTTCTAAATTTATGCCTGACAACTTTTGTTTCAAATTGTTATACATACGTCTTTCTGCTACCATATATGGTAAGAGAAACTTTCACCTGCCCCATTCAAATAGTCTCACCTGGCTAATGACCATATATGGAAGTCAGGTTCTTTGTGTAAAAACCGAAAGGGGCGAGCAGGTCACAACCGGGAATCGAACCCGAGTTGTCCGCTTGGCGGTCACCAACGCTAACCATTACACTAAAAGGTCGCACGACCATTTAGCATGGTCAGTTAGCACTGTTACACTACTCCCCCTTTTCTTTCAAGATTCGTCCTCGAATCTTCCGAGTCCGACATCCCTGGAGCTGCCACACTTATCCTCAGTGCCAGTACTCACAGGGCCGGCATGGGAACCACTGTAAAAACCGAAAGGGGTGAGCAGGTCACAACCGGGAATCGAACCCGAGTTGTCCGCTTGGCGGTCACCAACGCTAACCATTACACTAAAAGGTCGCACGACCATTTAGCATGGTCAGTTAGCACTGTTACATTTGTTCACTAGGCCTAAGGTCTCGCGTGCTTGAGTGAATAGATGTGTCTATAATAGTAGAGATTCCTGTAATAGGTTTGGCCTGTATATGAGATCACTCCCCTTTTAAAATGACTCAAAAGGCAACAGACAAATGGTCAGTTTTAGTATTTTACCTTGCGATCAAAATAAAGATCTGATAACGTTCCTTTTGTTATGGCTATCTTGAGGTAGTTTGGTGACTGTAGCATTTTGACACCTTTATATTGTATTGTTTGGTTATATTCTATGAAGACAACTGATTTACCCTTCTTTTATACTGCTTGGACAGATTTATTATTCATGGTTTATTTAAATATGTATTATTATCACAGTTGAGGTTTGCAAGTCAACATTCTTCTGAGTACTCTGCCATGGTTTTCATCAGGAATTTTTTTTTCTGATCATCTATCCTTGGCATACCAAATAAGTTGCTTTCGCTAGAACCAACAAAAGAATTACTTTCCAATTTCCTTTGCAACAAGAGAGATCATTACTTTCATAAATACGACGACACAAAAAATTGTGTCATTATTGTGGGACACTCTCCTAAACATGTACATGTACAACCAAATATGGGCCAAGGGTCAGACATATCTAGATCCACCTGTTGCCTCTAACGCAATCTTGCACTTTGCAACATATTCTCTCTTGGTTCACTCTCACTTGGTTCTCACTGTGTTCACTCTTCCTTGCCTGCTTTATTTGTGTGCACTCTTGTTCATTCTGTGAATTGACACATTTTAACCAAAAGTTTCATTTCCCAGTATTGAATGATCAGTTAAATTCCACATAACAGAATAATCTGCCCAGAGGTCTGGTTCCAAGCTGCATTACCATATATGGGGAGGCAAGGTTGTCCCAGAAAATTTCAACAAATCCTCCAAAGTCTTATCTGATCATTGTATTCTCAGGGGAGGTGTGGAAGTTAGGAAACTGGAAGCATGGAATTCTGTTGTGATCATGGGTTATGTTTCATTCTCCCATTTTGTTTGACGTTCCACATATTCTTCAACAGTTGATTTACTTTTAAACTTATATTTTCAATTTATTAAATATGCCCTTTGGGAGCCCCTTTGTCCCCATGTTACCTGTGTGATGCCCTTATTTGGACAGTTGGTGTGAGGTCCCAATTACTGGTATCATTCAGCTACCTGTTGATAAGCTTCAAGATTCTGCTCATTATGTTCAAATGCCCTTATATGGTCATTGGCTGTCCCTTTATCCATGTGACACCTGTGATGCCCTTATATGGGCATAGCCCCCATGACACCTGTTACCCAGGGGGCTTGTGAAGCCCTGCCCACCTGTCATCAGCAACTTCTGGGACTTGAAGCCTCATGCCCATATAAGGACAGAGGCCACTCTCCAGCTGCCGACCCTTTAATTTCTGGAGCTTTCTTGGATTAATGAAGTCCTTTCACCTGTCAGCAGCATTCCTGACTTCCCTAAGGTTTTTGAAAGTCTATGACTTATACAAGGACATCCCTGGCAATTTGATCTCAGTCTGACAGGATTGAACAAGTCAGGAATAACTGTCTTGGTCTCCCAGCTCACCCTTGTTTGTTGTACCTCTAACACAGCAGAACCAGAAGAGAGAAAAATTTTGGATGGAGTGTCCAAACTGCTGGAAGCAGCAGAAGGTAAACACAGTGAACCTGTAAAGCTATAGAGTTTACCTGAGTACATGTACAAATTTTACTTCAATAGATATCAAATACACATATCAAACCTTCTTCAGGGTAGATGCCATCTATAGTAAATATGTCATGTAGTAGCAGATTGTCATTGATATACTGTAAATCACTTGATAATTGCAGAAGCAAAATTTTGCTGTCTGAGAAAAATGGACATGTTTGCGGAACTACTAGAATATGGTCGCAATGGTGGCAGGTGCAAAAGAAATTAGCAAATTATTTGTTCACGGCAATTATAAATTCACAGAATAGAAGTGACTGTGAAAACCCTGAATATAAAAGTACCGCAAAAAAAGGCGCAAATATAAAGTGACTTACAGTACCTGACAGCTGTGCATGTACCTGCTTTGCACTGTTATGCTCTGAAACTTGACTGCCATCTACTTAACAAACTGCATGAAAACTCCACTGCCGTTCTTGGCTACTAACCCTGCAGCTTGTCTAACCCGCCATGTTGCTTGCACACAGACCAGCCCGGGGATGGGGACCTGTTGGAAGGGGAGGTCTCCAAGTTACTGGAAGAGACTGGAGGTAACAAACTGACCGCCATCATCCTTATCATTCTGCACATCCTGCACTCAAGTGGCTTCTCTTTTCTTGTAGAAATTAAAAATATTCCTTATCTTTTTTTTGGTCCTGTTTTTTTTATTTACTACTTACTACTTTGTTCACCGCAAAACAAGGCTCATGGGGACCACTCAGATCTCAGGTGTTTGTTGACCTTAGACTTGAAAAGTTTAAGGTTATACTCATATGAAAGATGATTTATCATAGCATCATTTTTGATCCCCAATTTTTTTACACAACAATGAGAGAAGGGAAATAATGCGTGATGTGCATCGCAACGTTTAAAAGTTATATCAAAGGACTATTTCAGTATAAATAGAGGTGGAATATGCAGATGAAGGTAAAAGGAACTGGACAAAATTTTCCTCTGTCCTTTCACTGTAATGGCCCTGACAGGTGACTGAACCTTGAGGAGAAACTCTTTCCTTGCGTTGGCCAGTTCTTGTTTGATGTTGATCGCGCTGCAAACTAATCTCTCCATCGGGTAAGCACAGTTTACAGTAGGGAGGTGCGGTAGGTCAGGCAGGGCAGGGCTTGTGTAGAACTGGGACGTCTGTATAGGAAACTTTCCACAAACTTTGAGCAAATGTTCACATCTGGCTGCAGGGTGACATCATTCCTGTTGTTTCACAAGAGCGCTCTAAAGTCTCACTACTATGATTTTCTGTTACCAGTAAATCACATCCAACATGTAAGTTTACTCTCTTGACAAAATCCCAGCAAACACAGCAGCTTTATTTTCATACATACTGTATATCAAATGGTCTTCCCAACCTTTATCACTTAATGTGATAAATTGAATATACATGTATCTTTTAAACTGCACTGTTACATGTACATGTGTATATCAATAATGTTGGCTCCTGAGGGAGAAGTATTATTCTTGAATATGAACTTGAAATGTAGGATATCAATAAATCATTGCTATGTGGTACACAGAGTTAAGAGCTGTCCTTGATACCTCAGTTTGTAAGTCAATGTCAAGGAATGCTGTAAACGTTTGGCCTTAGGAATCAAGTGTTCAACATGAGATGGCTGTTCCATTTGGAACATACATGTATAGAAGGGGGGGGGGTGAGAAAAAAAACAGTCTGAGTAATAAAAGTCAACAAAAAGGTAAATTTGCAATACAAGAAAATGCTTGGAGTTCATGTTAGAAAGATACTAATTAGAGCAATTCTATAGTAAAGGTTCATCAATTACAAGTTATGGTTATCTTGACTGCATGTAGGAAGACCATTTGAGCATGATCATGAGCAAACACTGTTTTCATCATCTGTTGTTTTCCTTGTCGTGTGTTGTCTGGATTTCTATCATTGGCCTCTGAGATAAATTTAGCAATGAGTACCAGCTTTAGGCAGGTACTGCCAGTGGATGGAATGTTCCAATTCATAGGAAGTGGGGGGGGAACGTTCATTCAGCATTATAGTAATAGCTCATCTCATGATTAAGATCAATATACTAATATTGTTACTGACAACTTTGTAGCAGCATTTACTTATCACAAGAATTGGACAACCTAAACTATTATATATTTAGCTCAGAGGTCAAAAATTTTCTTGAGAAGTCAGATGTGGACTAGTCTACCAGGTGGGGCCAGGAAAAGTGCTGAATCGCGTGACCCTTTGCTTACATGTTGAAGGAGAGCCACAACTTGGCTAGATCACAACTTGGCAAAACTATGGTAAATCTTGAATGGCACCATCTCAAAAGAATTTTGGAGAGAGAGACAGATAAAAAGAAAAAGGTCAGAGCAGACTAGGAAATTTGTGTGACATGTCAATAGGCAATTAAATTGTTGTCAAAATGTACCTTGTCTGTGCAAAAAGATGAGGAAACCTTACAACTGTCAACCACTTCCAAATGTTTATTTTTGTCATCTGATCCAGTGACTGGTTCTCTTGGCAGGTTGATGTAATGTGATACATTTAAAGATCACATGATGGAATTGGACATGACTAGTAAAGCTTGACTTGTCACTTGGCAATTTTTCAACAGCCTTCTAAGAGGCATAGATCAAATAGTGAGCAGTGTTTAGTGGTGACTGCAATGTTGTGACATTATCACCAGGTTATTAAATCTCTTGGATGGTTTCCATTTCAGTGGCGCATTTGCCAGACAAGTGGTCCTTAGCTAGGGTACCACCCTCATGAGTTAACTTTTGCTCCCTAGTTTGAGATAGAGTGGCCATAAACTAACAAGAATGGTACCAAGGATGGAGGACAGATCTACTGCTATCTTTAAAGAGAGTAATTATAGACTTAACAATTTATTGACAGTGAAGTGCTTCATAATATTTGATGTTGTCATTCATTCTCATGTAATTGCCAATTAGAATGTGTTCTAGATATGAAGGAGGAAGTACTTATGGATCATATTCATATGTAAGAGGAAACGTTTTAAAACAAGTCCCAATCTGTGATGTACCACTATTGCAAATCATATCTAAATATCCGATCTTCTTGCCTGGCCTGTTTACCACTTAACTCTAGTTTGTGTATGTGAGGTATGTTGTTTACTGCATTTTTGTGACTCAAAGATGCAAAAGCAGTGTGCAATAAGACTGGCACATATCCAGGAAATTTTTCCACTGCAGTCACATGTTTCTCATGCACTTGTTGGCAAATCTTCCTTCTTGGGTTACGATGAGCCAAGAGAACTCTCCTCTCTCTCTCTAATGTCATAGGGAGGACTGGAAGGGTTTTGATGATGCCTTTACAGTTTCCATTTCCATTTCCCTTCTCATTATCATTACAGTTCTGATGACATCATAGTCACTGCCCCATACGTCAACGATGTTGTCTTGTTTTGTTATGAAAACAGTAATTTTTCATGAGAACAAAGTATGTATTTCTACATAGCTCATGATATCTGACAACTTAGGCATGATTTTCATCACCATTTTTTATGTTGGCTGCCACAAACTTAGACAAATATAGAAACATTTTGCTTCTCATGTATTCATTAGACTCTATTTGTACATACCAGTTTTGAACACTCACTTTCACCTGAGTGGAGTGAGGGAATGCAGTGAAGTGCCTTTCCAATGACACAGCATTGGGACCTGTTGTAGACATAAACCCCAAAGGTAATGATCCTAACTACAAGGCCACCTTGTTCACTGACTTGGTCTGTCTGTGTTACAGAGAGCACACTGGGAGAGTGTTACCACTGGGTGTACTACAGTAGGGACAGCACTCGAGAGGTGAGGCAAAATTTCTCATATCTAAGATCATATGGAAAACCTTGCCACTTGTCAGCCGGAATGAATGGAAGGCATTTCAGCACCTTTTGTAGAAAACTTTCATCTTGACTAGTATGGTTCCTGGAGAAATATTTCTATTTTGTATGCAGTAATCATCTTCAGACACTGCCAAATTCTTTGAATTAACATGCTAAGGTGTGATGTGATATTAGTATTGATATGCAGAATATATAACTACTAAGTAGGATCCCTGGGGGTCATTATGATCCATTAACTGGCATGGACTTTTTCATAAAATGTCAACTTTGTAAGCTGTAAAGGCCTACACAAATTTGTCCAAAGTGCAAAATCTAGTCCAAAATTACTCCGGAGGGTATTCTATGTATTACTAAATAAGAAATGTGTTCTTCTACTAGAGTGTATAAAATAGCATGTTTGTCATGTTGTCTGACACTAGTTCTTGACACTGCTCTTCTGCAGTGCCATGGGTATCTGACCCTCGGTGAAGCTGTCAGAAAGCTGGATTTCAGCAATGCAGTAGAAGACACAAAAAGGTTCAGATATGTTTGTAGGGTAAGTAACTTTCAGTTCTCTTTTCTTAGTGGCGAATTAATACATGTTCGTAATGTGTTGGTTGATGCTGACATTACTAGTATACTGATGAGGTGCTGATGTCATTCTTTTTCATGCAGCTGCTCCACCTACTGCTTGGTGAGAAAATGACAGAGCTGGCTGGTAGTGCCCAGAAAAACCTCTTCAGCATTCTGGAAAAGATCGTCAACAGAGGTAGGAGTCAGTACCCATCCACTTGTTAAAATTGCAAAAACAGCAGAGGTTGTATTTTGTATTCAGCTCAGTTTTAGAAAACAATGCAAGAATGAAAAATCTTTCATAATCTAAAAATTCTGACTGTATCTAATTTGAGAAAAATAACAGTATGTCTCAAATGAAATTGAAGATCAAAATTTGAGGACAACAAAGTCTGATAAAGAAGGGGAAAAACATGTAATGTTTGTCCTGTATTAATCCTTATGGGTATGTAGGCCATTGCGATTGTATGACAATTTCATAATGTACCTCTCGCTCGATCCTTTTCCAGTCATTGAGTCCCAGACAGACATTGGTCCGATCCACGAGCTGCTGACCATGGCAGCCAAGTCGCTGTGGGAGGAGCGCTGGCACCACATCGGCTACAGTAAGACACTGTGGATCCAGCGCATGGAGGCTCTGCTCAGGATGAAGGGCAATCTCAACAACATCAGGATCAAGGAGGTGAGGAGAAGGAACACTGAGGTTGTTCAGGAACACAATCATATTCCTGTCTGGTAATTGCTTGGGCAACTTGGGATGGGTTTTTTTTGCGGTAAACGTCAGACCTCAAGAGGTTGCGGTACCTCAAAAGTTGCAAAAATTACTGTGACTCCCATTGTTTTAATCTAATGATGTATTGATGATGATGGCATGTTTATTTGCAACATGTGCACCAATATACAAAGTATACAGCCTTACCTGACTGAGTATGAGACAAAGAGTATTTCTTAAAATTCATTACAATTCGTCAAAATTCAATAACTATATACTGAAAGGTAAGATACTTCAATCTGGACGTATTGTACTGCCCCCTTTCTTGAAATACAGCTTTGGAACATGAATAATTGTAGGTACTTGTTCTTACATGTCTACACTATTGAATAGATAATGCTAATCACTCTGACATTTTTTTGTCTGCAGAGAAGTGATGATGGGAAGATGGTCCTGACTGACCTGCCCAATGAGGTCATCCGTGAGATTCTCCACAGGGTTGCAGACCACAGGGACATCTTCAGCCTCGCCGCGTCCAACCGCGGCATGTCGGAGTTTGGCAGGGACTGGAGGATGTGGAAGAATCTCTGCGAGTACCACTTCACCGAAGACCAGGTAGGAAATTACTGTATTGTAAAGGCTTGATTATGCAAAAATCCTGTTCTTACAAAAGGCTACAGAAACAAGAAGACTCTAAAAGACTCTGCTGTTTTGTGTTGTTTGTAGATTGGTGCGTGTCAACAGTTTACAACTGAATCAACCACACCAAAGAGCAAAGGAGAAGTGTAGAACAAAGATGTGCATGTACAAAGCCTGCTATGAAGATTTGTGTGATTACCAGAACTGCACTAAGACTACAGTGTACAGCAATTAATCACATTACAAAAACAACTTTTGTAAGATTATACTTCTTACGTAATAGAGATTAAACCAAGTTGCCATGTTGTAAGCTGGTCAAAATGTTACTTTTGCTTCTTTTTCAGATTAAGACATTTCTGAAGGAGGACAAGGAAGACAAAGATGTACCATGGCAGGAAATCTACCTCAGGTGTTACAGGTGAGGTTTGTGTGTATGCACCGGGTATGTGTGTTTCTTTGTTTGTTTGTTTGTGTTACTGGGTATATGCTTTGCTTTACTCTTCGTTTATAAATAATAGTGACACCATCTTGGTCACAAAGAGTTTTAACAAATGACAAGACTTGGCCTGTGAAGAAGTACATCAATTATGACTGTGCTCTAAAGTTAAGGCCTTAAATGTATTTAAAGTTCTGACCAGTACTTGTTATTATGTATCTACAGGAGGTTTGGTCCACGAGAAGTGTTCACAGACATGCTGCAGCTCTGCTGTTCCTGTAAGGTTCTCTTCTGGAAGGTACGAGCTCACACCTGACGTGCTGTTCATTTGGTTTAGTCCATTTCATGCCAAATGGCACACAAAGCAGTGTGATGAACTGATAACATTTTGTTACAGTTGCGACAGAATTTTTGTCTTGTTGTACAGATCTTAGTATGGAAATCTGTAGAAAAATTGGTGGAAAAATGCAGTTGTGTGTTTCTTTCTGTCACAGGACACAGGACACCCATGTTTGGACCCAGCGAATGCTGTCAGCCTCCCCATCACTCCTAAGGACTTCCTCAAACTCTTTGAGATGTGAGTTGCAGATGGAAGACTTGTCACCTGAAACCACATTCTAAACAAAAGACATTTTTTAAGGCTGTAGTACTTTTACTAAATTAGCCTTTCATGTGGAAAGTGGCTTGTGACATTTTGAATACAAGCAAAAACAACAGTTACATTATTAGTACATGTATATGTGTAAAAGATATTTCCTACTAAAAATGTGTTCGTGTACATATTGTGAAAATGGTGTAGTCTACTAAAACACATGTATAGCTCAGCTCAGCAATGCTGGTCATATGGATAAAAACGGTAACATTATCATTTATAAAAACATACCTGTACGTTAGAATCTACCAAGCTTTACAGCATGAATTCAAAGAAATCATGACTGTGACAAAATAATGCCTGGCTGGTCAAAGGGACAAAGTCCTGGATATCTAGTTGGTCAGCTATAGATCAAAGGCAAATGTACATACCCAGTAACTCTTACGTACACATTTATATACGTTAACCATCTTTTCTTTTCACATGAAGTGGGTAACATATAATTACTTTGGTTATTTTTGTAAGCTACATGTACAAGGTATGTGTTGGCAAATTGTCTTTTTTTTTCCTTATATTACTGATGTTAGAAATCAGTTACTTTTGATATTGATATAATCAAACCAATAGTTGATGTTTGAAAATACAATCATGCATGAAATACAATCAATCAACTTAACATTCTATCTTGACTATCTTCTATCTTGACTACTAGTATCTTCTATTACTGTCTTAGCATTTATCAATTAATATCACTAAAATAGAAAGTTTACTTTTTTGGGACAGTTTAAACTTGGAGCTTATGTTATGTTTTGAAAAGACTTTTCCTGTAATATTATCTATATTTACATATGACACAGGATTAGGATGATACACACCTTTTGTGGTACATATTCAATGATACATGTACTGTATTAGACAAGTGACTATATTCCAAATGCAAACTTGTACAGATGCTATTCTTTGTATATGTAGTAAAGATATACACACATATGTTATAGTCATGTACCTGTAGATCAACATTTTGTAAAATATTTGAAATATATAATCTATGTATATCACTATGAGAAATATATATATCGTACCCTACCACAGTATTGTAGAGTCAATTCCGCGTCACCGAGTGGGTTGTTATTGTCATTATTTAGAAATGTTTTGAATTCTTTGTAATTGTTTGTCTAAGAAATTTCATAATTTGGAAATATTTTGAACATCTTGTCAATATTCTAAATAATTCCCTGGTTTTCTAAAATGTTTGAAATATTCCTGATGTGGATTATGACATTTCCAATAGTTTCTAAATATTTCTAACAGCACTCTACCATTTTTTACCATTATTTCGAATTATTTCTAACATTTTGTAAATAGGTCAGTGGGATGGGAAGGAAGTAATTCACACATCCCTGTGAAGTACATGGTAGACTGCCTGGGCGTCAGGCATTGATGCCTTACAACAAAAGAGCCACCAGTGTCCAGCAGTGAAATCTAAAAATATACAGAGGAAGACAGAAGAGTAGGATTAGCACCTACTTTTATGGGGGCAATTACCCACAACTACCATTTGGTTATTTGTTTGAAATAGTTCTAAATATTTCGAATTGTGAAAGAAACACATGGGTAGTTCAAATTTATTCTAAAGAAAGAGATCTTTGTACAGTCACATTCAAAATGTTTCAGAAATATATAAATGAATTCAAATATATTCAAATTTTCATTTTCAAATTTTTAAAAAATTTAGAACTTTTGTTACTGGGGTATTCTTTTCTTCTAAATAATTCAAACGTATTAGAAACATGGAGAAAAAACCCACTCGGTGACGCGGAATGGACTCTATTTGCTGGCACGTTTTTTTTTCACAAACCTCCAAGAGAGTATATATGGGGTCCTTTTTATAAGAAATCGATTGCAGGAAGTTGTGGAAGGATATGTGAAGTACAGTGAAGTTAATGTCAGTGTGTACATGTACATGGGTATTCCTTCTTACCAAAGGTTCCTCCTGACCTGTACAGATGTTGTGGAGAAGAAATGTATATAATATTATTACCTACATTGTGTAAGTTACACACAGCTTATTCTTTTGAAGAAACTTGGGAGATGGTTGTTTAAGACTAATTGTTGTTGGTAGAAATGTGAGATGAGTATGGATTGTTAAAATACTGTATTATTTCAGTAAACATGGGAAGTAATAAGTACTATTGTAATATAGATTGTTGTACTTGTTTTTGCCTAGACCGAGGTGGTTAGAGAGTGGTGAGAAGTTATGAGCTGAGTTGTTGTTTGTGGGCTAAAGAAGGAGCAATTAAATAAAATAGGATGCTTTCAGATCTTGACCATTGTGAAGTCGGAGAGGTAACGTTACTTGTAAGCTGTAAGCCTGTAAAATTTCTATGGTGGTGATAATATTGCTTAGCTGTACTTTTAGTATTTTTCACTAGAGGGCGCTGCTTCACCACTGATGACTGTTCTTAGCAGGGAAGCCCTTTCTACAGGTTTAGTCAAGTACAAAGAGTTTACAGCTGTGTGTACACTGTTGCATATATTTATGTTTTATAATACCAGAAAGTATGTGTTACAAACATATTTAATAAAGCTCTCACATGAGAAAGAATATTCCTTGATCTTTTTTTGCTCCTAAAATATGACAACAGATGATCCCATAATTCATGTTGTAGTTTTGTAGACTTTGATTGTTCACATCATGCCAATATCATGATCTTGAGGTATCTAATTTCAAACTAGAGATTTTAGCACAGGTGCTTTTGCAAAGGCATATGTGTGCCTACACATGTATTAGCTATGGTACAGTTAGCAGGGTACAAGGGGTGCAGTTTAGCCAGGCAATGCATACATGCAGGTTTACAATTATATTGGCTGTCATTCAGTCTCCTAATATGTGAAGGCACAGTTTGACTTTGGGTGACTTTACATGCTTTACATCTTTGTAGAACGTAACATGTCTGTTCATGCCAGTAACCTACATTCAAGAGTACAATACCAATCCCCCAAAACCGTCCCTGTGTGAGTTACTTGTGCGAGCTGGAGCGACAGAACAGTTAAACAGTTGCACTATGTAAAATTGAACTAATGGATTTGATTTCCTTCTTGATGGAGCACTTTCTTCCTTGACAAATTCCTCTACAGCTGCTTACAGCTCTAGTTATTCCATCACCCAACATGGCATCTCCCTTCTACCGACACAATGGGGAAATTTCCCAAACCCCTGTAGCTAAACAGGAGTGTCACAGGCCATTAAGCAGTATTAATACATCAATGATGACAAGGTGAACAAAAGGGGAGGGGAGGTACCATGCAAGTAAAGCTTCCTCAAGCTATTCTGTGATTGGTGGGTATTGGAGGATGAGTGATGGGGTGGAAACGCTGGCTTTTAAATGATGAAAGAAAAGTGAAAACTTTTCACATGACAGCAAGATGAAAAGGTGACAAGAAATGAATGTGCAGTAACATGGGTGGGTGGTTTTGTATGGGGGTATAAACCATTGTCCCACATCAGGCACAGCAGCTAATACCTGGACCGGCAACTTTCTGTCTGCTTGGAAAAGTGGCCTACAGGACAAAACACTGGATCTCACTGTACACCAACACAAGTGGTAGTGATTGGTTTACTTTATATTTCTCACATTAAAAATTCACAGTCTCGCAGTTCGCACTGTGTGCACCATGATACAAACTCCATGGGAATACAATGTCCTTCAAAAATCATACCGATACTTGCAGGGAAATATCACTATGCATGGATAATCATTACACTTCCTTTGCCTTTTAATTTACTCAGATACATTTATTAGTCTAGTCCCAATGCCAACTTGAATTCATTGAAAGGAATATGATAGTCTGCTAGGAGACATGTAAATGTAACTTCTAAAAATTCTTTGAAAGAAAAGTTACGTAAGAAAAACCTGTAAAAGACATTCATTTTAAAAAATCCTAATTGGCCTCTGTTCTAGGTTTTAGATGTCTGTTCTGCCTGATCATCACCTAGTACCACTTCACATAGAAGTACCACTTCTATTCATGTACAGATATTTTTATTCCAGCTGTCCGATAATCAGACTTTGTTTCGCGTTTTGCCATGGTACCACAATTATACCAGACTTTGTTGATGCTGTAATGGTAAAAATGCATATACATTTATAAAACTGATGCACTGCCACTCTGCCACATAGAAGCTTAACATTTTGCCAAATTTTTTCTCCCATGTTTAAGAATAAATGGCAAAAATGACCCTCTCTCTGGGTTAGTTGTTCAAACCCAACTGAGCTGTTGGTCCAGTTGTTGTCTAGCCTTGACCCTGCTGGCCTTTCCGTCTGCGTGGCCGGCGCGGTGACCAGTGGCGTACAGCGGCATAATTCCCCTTCCATGGGGGGTCGAACCCGCCATTGTCCCCCCACATGCTTCCATACCTTTACACACAAAGGCTTGTCTGGCCTGCATCCCCTGTATCCAATCACAAACATGTCTGGCTTCATCCTTGATGGGGAATTCATTCCCTCCATTCATCCACACAACAAAGGAGAGGTCCGGAGGTCCAGTGATCCTCGGGGTACCTCCTATCCCACCGTCTGAATTTCCCTCCCGACAAAGGGCGGCAGAAAGCACGCTACGACATGCTCATCTCTGGTCATCGGAGTGTCGAGCTCCCATTGTAGGGATCTAACCTGGATCAACTTTAATCCACATCAGCTAAGTGGTAATCTGGACCAGAACAGTCCTCTAAATTCTGACAAAGTGGTCTTCAGATTAGTGAACTAGAATGCCCCAATCTTTTCTTTGTCATTAGAGCTGACCACATATGCCATCGTGACCATTCCTCTACTTGAGAGTAACATTGCTGTTTACTCACAACACAACTGATCACATTCCACAAAACACAAATTTTTTATGACAGAATGAAAATTTTTGTAATATTGAAGTAATGCTAACAATGTGAATGCATTGATAAACATGGGACAAATTAAAGTTTAATAGCTTAGAACTTTTGAAAAAGTGTAAAAGATGTTGCTGAACAAAGTGTCTTCCTCCCTTCATCCTTTCCAGGCCTTGTACCCTGGCATGATAAATACATGTAGAAGGAATCCCACCTTGTGTGTGTATGATGGCATTTCACAGGAAAACTAGACTGTGAATCATTTGTATTTATACAGTAGGATTTGTCTTCAACAGTTTCTACCATTAGTCTGAAATCCAACCATGTTTAACTTAGCTTTAGCCGCTCTAGCTTTAGTTCACTCACTCACTCACTGACACTGCCAATGCAAGCAACTGTTGCAAAGCAGCTATACTTCTGAGCGTGGCTGGATTTCAGGTTACTGTTCTACACTTATAAAGAATAACCAATTTGTAATGAGCTTATAGCCATTTTGAATGCTCCTAAATTATAAAACTAAAGTTAATGAATTATGAATCTATACTAATATATAATGAATTATAAACGTTCAGATTTCTGATGATGAACTCCATTTTCTTCTTCTGCATCATTTTCTGATCAACAGATACAAATTAACACCAACAGTAACAGTGAACAGTTAATTTAGTTCTGTCCACTCTGGTGGTCCTTCAGTTCAGGAAAATCACAGCAGTAATCTCATATTTAAAGATGATCAAAGGAAGGAAGATGCTGAGTTAGCAATTTTCCATCAAAAGAACACATTCTCCTGTCAGAGGATGAAAGGCAAAAACTGGGGAATGAATCACAATAAGGACGCCGGGCCTAATTCTGACTCATTGAGCTCCAATCATGCCATCATTTTGTGAGCGCTACAAAGAAGGACAGTAGAATTTGATGATGCCACAATTCTTTGCGTTGTCACCACCCAGAGAGGAACAGAATGAGAAGTACTGCATCATCCCATATATGGTAACTCATCATGCAGAACTACAGACGCCTGGCACCATCAGTATTTTTTTAGACCAAGCATATACATCAGTTCCTTTGCCTCCCTCCCAGTGTGCCCTGCAGACACAGAAAATGTGACAGACCACAAGCAGGCACAAAGAAATGCCATAATTGATTTTCTCTAACATCTTGAGAGAGAAGCATGTACAGTGTACATTTACACAGGAGAGCAGACATTAGTC